ACACACACGCACAAAAAAAAAAAAGAAAAAGATGTGAAGAGACGGTGAACCAACTAAAGTATAACTAAATTTAAAGTGCTATGGAACAGATCTATTTTTGGCTTTTGGCTTTTTAAATGCTAAACTTCCATTTTTTTTTGGTACCGTCTTTGACGACACAGTTATATTGTCCAGAGTACTTCCTTCCTGACTTGAAATAATTACTTAGAAATTTATGTAAGTTAAGAGCACAATGATAAATGATGATTTGAGATCAATATTTTTGTAGCAGCGAGAAGTATACTTGCAGTGAACCATTTGGTAAATGGCATTAATAGAGGTATCTGTTTGATGGTGAACTGTTGTTCAAAAGTAAATTTGTTAGATATTGTAGGATAACTATTAGCAGCATTATTTACTTATCTATTTTTTTTTTGTCTATAATATTTTTTTTTATTTCTTTTGATATATGTGGCAAAGGTTTGGTTTTCTTTTTTTTTTTTTTTCTCTGCTACGACTTCTAACAACAATTAAATGTGTAAACTGCAGTGGAATTTATAATTGGTTTTTATGGCACTTTTTGAATCAAAAAATTTATGACTGATAAAGTTTAAAAAGAAGAAGAAGAAAACAAATTGAATTTTTTGGTCTAAATAGGTTAGTTTATTCGACAACTGGTTGCCATGAATCTGCCATAAATCTGGCACTATGATTGATTACTGCAGATGAATGATCACATGAATTTATACATCTTTTGTTTTTTTTTTCTTCTGATAACCATTTGTAGTACAGCTACAATTTTTTTTGAAAGCTGTATAGTTGAAGCAGCTAAAAAATTGTTTTGCTATCTGTTAACAATAATTAGGAAAATATTTTTTGTTGTTTGTAACAGAAATTTTTAGATGCTAACAGAGTGCATTATATAGCACTAGGATCATTTAGAAAAGTCTGAAAATTTAACCAGAAATATGTTTTTATTTTAACATAGTCAAGAATTTGGTAAAAAGAATAAAAAAAGATGAAATCTCACTGCAACGATCTATTCAATTCAATAGCAGTTCATTTTTCATTGCTTAAATAACTGCTAATTTTTTTATCGAAAAAATTACGACTTTTTTTTTGCATCTAAAAATATCTATATTCCCCTTTCGTTTCCGCCTTCTTCCCTTCTTTTCTTCTCTTTTGAATAAGCAGCAAATAATGGTTACTGGAAGCTTTTTTTTTCTTGACGATGACTATGATGATAAGCAGCTGAAAATCTATCTCGGCAAATGAGTGAATGAATGGATGAATGAATGACTAAAGGAATTAGCAGATGAGTGAATGTAGATGGAGGCTGAATGGGTTAATTTATTGTAAAAGAAGCTTGGTCTTTGGAGCATCTTAACAGCGGTAATAATAACCAACCTGATAGTTGTCTAATCGACGGGTAGTTATGGATTGATGAGCATAACGGTTGAAGCTATATGCTAAGATTTCTTGGCTACCATTTGATAAGAAATTCACTCCTACGCAAAACCAAAGCAAAAAAAAAACACACTTTTATTTTTAAGAAATGGATACAGCGAACAAACAGGTGGAAGAAATATATGAAAAAGATTTTTTTCAAATTTCATGTACCTGAACAAATTAGATCATAATAAAATAAATTTTGTTTTTTGTTGTTGCTATTTTGATACCGTTATTCTGACTGTTGAAA